GTAATTTATCAAATTTACATATTTGGATTTAAGAACGGGTTAGCCAATAGTCTAATACTGTATACAAAATTAATATGCATATCATGCTTATTATATGCATCAACAGTAGGTATATAACTCATGAGTTAACGAGCTTAAGAGCGTAATTTTCACGTTAAATATAAAACTAATATTAAAGAATAGAAAACACTATGCCGTATATCATTGTGTGAACACACATAATTTTGTATACACGCATCGAATATTATAAATAATCACAATAGACAACTCTTAAACACGTATTTGACGAATTGGGTAAGTCGATAAAATATTGTTTTTTTCTTTTTTGGAATGTTGTGAAAAAAAAATGGATGCAATAATAAAATATAAGTAGTTGTAAAGTAATAACGAAATTGATGACAAGAGCTCCGACAAGGATAAAACGCACTACTGGCAGCATTGATTCTGCACACGTCTTTGACATTTATATCATAATATATCACATAAAATAATAAAAATAATATAATATTTCCAAGACGTATATGAGGATAGGTGTGCGTGGTGAAAGTTTATTCAGAACGAATCTGGTAGATGAACTAGTTTGACGTCGGGTGCCTTGGCCGGTAAGTTTACTTTAGGTTTGATAAACTACATATTATTTTAAGCTCCACGGTCGCAGTTCAATGCGCTTGTCTGTTCACTAACCATCCAACCGTTTTCACTGCCTCCGACATCGTTACTACATCAAAATACGTGATTCGACAGCGATGAGGTTATACAATTGTGTTACGGAATTACTTAGAAGTATGTGTTTGTGTGTTGATATGTAAACGATAGACGAGGTAACGTCAGTGGTTTACAAAAGTTTGGAATCAGATGGTGGTGTGGCACGAGGGAAATAGTACCGAGTAATAAAAGCATTTTAACGATGGAAATTTAGATTGGTCTGTATAATATAATACACCTGAGATGTATTTAGATGTAACGGTGGAAGTAAAACGAAGAAGACAATGTAGTCACACAAACATACAAGCGTGCGACAAGTGTATACTACAGCTTGAGGGATATAATATGTGTGTATGTGTGTGCGTGTGTGTAACGATGGCGGATTCCTCTTTAGGGCACCTGTGTAAGAAATTACATATTTTTTCCACGTTTCCCTTTTCAAATGTACTCGTATTTATCCAGCCCCACTGTTAAGTAAGAACGTTTCTCACCGATGACGAGCGTGTAGTTTGGGGGAAAGTAGACACACGTTTTATTGGCATGGCCGCGTCAAGTAGTTGCCGAAAACGTACACGTAGTATAGTAGTTTTACTGAACAAAAAATAGCCTCACATAAGAAACAAAACGTGTAAACGATTGTTGACTGCAGTTGAGTAAGAGTATCTGCAATGAAACTACTGTATAGTATTACGGCAGGAGCGAAATGTAGAATTGTATTCGAGGTGAAAATCGTTGATAGAGAGAGAGAGAGAGACAGTGTGAGAGTGAGGAGAGGAAACAAAGACAAAGGTAAATCGATAAACATAGATTGGGTAAAAGGATCTAAAGATAAATGTAGAGAAAAAATCGTGAAAAGCGAGGGTAGAAAAGTGTAGTAGTAGATTGTCATGCGGACTTCGGAAAAAATGTGGACATGAGATGTAGAGAAAGGAAAACGAAAGAAACAAAACAAAAATAAAATCATGGTACTAGATTTCAGATAACTTGATGTAACTGAGTAAGTGGAAAATTTCAAACTTTTTTCGAGATTTCGACTTTGATTATTAATTATCTATGTCACTATAAGACATAAGAAATACCAAAATGACAGCTAGATTGAAACAAAGGCATCGAATTAAAATATTATAAGATATTGAACTCGAAAACGATATGATATACTAACTGCGTCAAACTAAAATAATATTTTATATTCTTCTCAATGCTATTATTTTCAGCGTTACATTTATAGCAATGAAATGATATACGTAAGTGCACTCGTTGGACTTATTGTGATGTGATTGATAAGTGATAACAGACAGAGTAATCGCTAAGAGACTTTAAATCACTCATTTTTGTATAGGTTCAAGTATATTTTCCATTTTATTAAACTCAATTCTAATCCGATTTACAGATTTTGAAAACATATTTTACAACCTAAGCAGGAATTAACTACAATTATAATAATATACAATTCAATTTAAGTTATAAGTACTTAATGACATTATCATTAATTTAAATATATTTCAATCGTTTTTTTTTATAAAGAAATTTCTAAATTATTAATATGTTAATTTTAATTATTGACATAATATTTTGTATTTTATGGTTTATAGAGTGAGAATACAATTTTTTTTTTTATATATTTTTCACGAAAAAAAAAAAAAAAAATAATATTTTTAACATAATATCTTCATTTTGTATTGGTATTCAGAAACATTATTATAATTTAAGGACCTATTACAACAAATATTACAAGGTACTGATAATACGCACGAAAAATTATAAACTCTAAATGATAATTCTAATTTCTAATATTGTTATACAACTAAAATACTAAAATTGAAGCAATTTAAGTATGGAGCATTATCTATTATATACACAATGCAACAATATTTTCAAAAAGATCCATTTTAACGAATATTGAGTAATAAACATAATTAATATAAATTTTGTTTAAAATTATTTTAAACATATTAAGTCTGTCTTGAAAGACATTATTTCATAGTTATTGCAAATAATTTGTAAATTTCAATAGTTAATTTACTCTATAATAGACAACAAATTAATAAGCTAAAAATTATTTTAGAATCTTATTATTACTTTTCATATAATATTATATATAGGAGATTTAACGTAACCATAAATCTTTATAGTATCATGTAAAATATAATATATGTCTTAATTGTAAGACGAGGAGATAAATAAGGGCCTAAGTATTTTAATAGTCAATTTTAAAATTTTGGATAATATTATGTTAATAAAATTCTCTATACGTATTAATTAAAGATGGATACTAAGGAATAATAGTAACACAATTCAAGTACAAAAATATAATCAAACAAATAAACTATAAATAGAATAACATAATTTATTGTGTAAGCAGTTCTTAGTTAAAAGAAACATGCAATTATTTTGATCAAAAACTGAACGTCATAAACGTTTTAATACAACCATATAAAATTGTTCTGCACTTACTTTAATTAAAAAACGTTGTTTAATTAAATAACATTATTATACTCCCAATAATTATAATTTTATATACAAGAACTTTATTTAAAATAATTTAATAATGTACGAGTAAATAGGTAGTATGTCTATAAACATCTACTATTCACGAATAAAAGATAAATTGTTTATATATTGTCAATACTAGAAGCCATAATAAATTTTAATAAATTAATAAAACAGATTTTTTTTTTTACTTTAAGTTAATAATTATAACAGATAATCTAATACATATTTTATAGCACTAATATTAGATATCTTAAAATGGGGTAAAATATAATTTGATATCTAAAATGTCAACCACATTTTACTAAAAAAACACAATTTTGTGTTATGTTGATTACTGTCTACAATTATAATGATTACCATAATTTAAGCAAATGTTTTAAATTTATAATAAAATATATTCTAAAAACCACGTGTAAGAATTTTAACAAAAAATGTACTTGCACTTGTTTGTATATGCCATTAATTTATTCGTAGAATTATTTTTTATAAAAGTACATAATATTATAAATGTGTTTATAAAATATTTTTTGTATAAATGCAAAAGTAAGTATTTAAATACTTTTTTAAAAGTATTTTTTTACGATACTGCTTTTGAAGCTCTTTTATATAAATATAAATTAAAATTAAGCCTTGAATTATTTTAATTGCTGAATTTTTATTACTTACCATTTCCTTATCGAGTTAATCAACACAAAAGAAAAAAACAATTATCACTGCATCACACTTTATTTGAGAACTAACACAAGTAAAAGTATAAATGATAAAATATATAAATACTTATAACAATGCAGCATGTATAAATATTATACTATTATAACTTTCAGAGTAGTGCAAAACAAACACGAACAGTGGATAGGCTTACATTTGTATATTAAAAATCATTCATTGATCGCATACAATTTAATGAACTGACAACCAACCGAACAATTCATTACATATTTCTTTTCGTCATATTTGTATTGAAAAGTACACATCGAAATGAAATACAATTGTAAACAAAGTTTATGTTTAAGCAATAATAAAGCTTTTACTGGAATAAAATATTATTTTGTGTACTCATTACAATAAATATGTTTTGAGTTTTTATGAATTTCCATGCATATACATATATATTAAAATTTAATTTATTTCTAAATCATGCTCAAAAAATGTATTCAATATTAATCAATTTTATTAATAAGATTATGGTTTTTATAAACAAGAAATGATTATGCGCAGAATAATTTTGATCCAATGATCAAAATAACAAATTGAGTATCGATAGCTGTTATAGTAACATTACTAAGTAAATATATTTTCATGTATTTTCAATAAATGACATTTTTAAACAATTAAAAAAATAATATAAATTATAGAGCCATTTAATACATTTTCAATTTGATTAGTTTATATTATAATAATATACTGGACTAAATAACTAACACGATGGTTAGGCTGGAAGTGATAAAAATAATTTTCTTTTTATAGCATAAAAACGAATTATACGTGTTAACTGTTAACAATTATTAAGTTATGAAATTTATAAACACAAGGAATTATTTTTGCTTTGAAAAATACCAAAAGTTATTTTTCCATAGTGTATTTAATCATATTATATTTTATCATCAATTCGTCTACTTTTTTTAAAGGCAATTAAATGTCAACATTAGCTTTAAACATTATTTTCGATAATTTATCCATGGTTCTATACCATACATTTAAATAATATTTTAGTCGGTTTAACTCTCAAAATGTATTGGATTCAATATTCTTTTTAAATATGATAATAAATTATTCGATTTCCATGCATTTATTATAATTACCTGATGTGCATTATAAGTGTATCAATAACGTATTGCTTTTTGAACTGTATGGTACTCGTACTATTTATCTGAAAAAAAAATGAAACAAAATAATATATCAAGTTATCACTGCTATGCATAAAACATATTAAAACACAAATCGTATTACTATACAACAAAATTTTCGTACATAAATTATCTATTAGTTTTGACATCACCCCTAACTTATCCATTTAATCTGTTAATTAATAACATAATTCAATAAAAAAAAAATGTATAAACGTATCGATATCGAGTAAATTATTGCTTAATTATAACCCATCTACTTTGATTTAAACGACATCTAGGCATAATAATAATAAAAAAGAAAAATAATTTTTAAATATAAGTATTTGTGATATCGGCTTCATAAACAAATTTTTTTCAAAGTAAAGAAAGGCTTACAATACAGAAAGGTCAATGGAACTTTGAAAAAAAAAAATGGAAATATAAAATATTCAAATAAATTGAATTTCAAGAGTATTGTTAATCATTACCAAGATTTAAATATAATAAAGGACAAATGGAAAGATAATTTTCATAAATTAAAATTAAATAAATCAAATTTAATTTTTATAATATTTATATAATTTTCCTTTCTTTTTACTCTTGTGCTAAAAATGAATTCCAGTACATTTGACAGATAAAGATAGTTAAGTATTTCAAACAAATCTACTTATGATGCTTTTACCTAACCTAAGTTGTAATAGAGCATTATTTGATAGCTACTTAAAACGCAATTTGTACGTTAGTTATTTAACTTAATTAACTAGTAGAGTATTAAAAATCATATATTTACACTAAATTAGATTTAGGTATTAAGTGTAGATAAAGATGTTTTTATTTTAAACACGATGTATTTTTATTTTTTTAAAACCATTTCCATAAACCACTATTATTTGATAGTTAAAATATCATGGTGACAAAATAAATAAATTCTTAGCATATGCTTATTTGTTTTTATAGTTATTTCAAAAAGTCAAATCACCTACCCATTCATTTAAAAAAAAATAAATAGATTTCCTAAAATATTTTTAATTGAAAAACTCAGCTGTTAAACAACATGAAATTACATTTAAAAATAATCAATATTGTTATATATTTAACCTGTGCAGCTATTGTGAAAACAAAAAAAAAAAAAAAAAAAATAAATGAATATATATTATGTCTTAATAATCTTAATTATTTTTATTATTCAGTATCTTTAATCAAAAATAATTATTAAAATAATAAATATAAAGAACTTAATAATACATAGTATGAATAATTATCATTTTTTGTGTGATCTACTGTAAACTTAACTTCTGACGAATGCTGTAAGGTAAATGCAATCTACCTGCACTATATACTATGTTATATTTCCTGTAATTATCAAATAATCGTACTGTTATCGATATTGTATAGTTGAAACTAAGCATAATATAACATAACATAACTGGATAAAAAAATAAAGTTTATGGTAGTTCAATTACACATGCCATGAAGGGTGGGTTGAGTACTAAAGAATTTCGGCATGTGAATATACCCACGAAACTGTCAATCACAACGAAAACTTTGTAGAACCTAAAACGGTAGTACACACATAGAGGAATGATTGTTTGTTAAGGCTCTTAAGGTTAAAATTGTAAAAACTATGTTTGAAACAAGTGAACAACTTATTCCGAGCTTTTCTTTAGGTAATAATATATAAAGTCAGTTAAATCTGATTTATTATGATCACTATAAAATTACTTGGTAATAGCTATTTTAGATACGTCTTAAAAGTGCAAAAAAGTGTTTAAATCAACATACTTTTCATAAAAATTTCTAAGGTAAAAGGTTATGGCTGTAAAATTTTAATTTTACCTTTTAAAAAAATAAAGAGTTTAGTATGATATAAATGAATATTGTGTGGCCTGGTGTGGCGCGGTGTTTGGTCTTATTCACTAATGTGTTCTAAGGTCAATCATCGGCCAGCGTTGCTAGCTGTTAGATGGGCGACCAGCCGATTTCTTAGTAAAAAATCTAAGGTACACACGCATACATAACATGTGTTTCAACCTTACAAGTAAATCCTACCCACAAAAAAATCCTACTGTACCTTTATACAGTTACTGTTCTTAATCGCCGGGCTTAAAAAAAAAAATAAATGTTATTTTTATATGATACAAAATAAAGTCTTGTTTTTAGATTTTAATTTTTTTAATTTAACTAAATAAAAATATTTGAAATAATTCATCACATTCAGTAGACCTGGTGAAAGAATGGCAGATTTCACACTGTATGTGTAGGTAGCGACATACTAATAAATAGTATAAATATAAAATAAGTATAATTAATAATATTATTATATTAACAATTTGAATATTTCATTCAAAATATGGTAAGTAAGTTTTAGTTTGTTACAATTTTAGTGGATAATATAAGTTACAAAATATGGGAATATAGGCTAAGAAACCAAGATGTTATAATACAATTTTACATTCAGTAAAACTACTATACTGCACTACTTGTCACTTAATCTTTATCAGGGATCAATTCTATTTTTGAGATGCTTGAACTTTAATTATTTATTTATAAATAATGACATGAAAAATGCATTTTTTTATACTTAGAACTTAAGACATTTTAGTCATAAATAACAAACATTTTTTACCAAAAATACGATGTGTTGTACTTGTATTCAAAAACAGATTAAATTATAGATTAAAATATTATTTTAAGTGTAAATAGTTAAAATAATAATTTATTAAAAACTATTACCTCATATATATATTTTTTTTTTTATACAAATAGACACTATACACTTATAATTAATTAGTTTTGAATACATTTTATTATTTATAGTAAATATAATGAGAATAAAATCAAAAAAATTAACAAAGTAATTAACAGTGAGTGTTGTCACTTTCCACTTTATCGATGGAAATGCAAATTGAATTCCAATAGATAATGTGTATTATCTTTTCTTTGTACTGAAATGAATTATATATCAATATGATAAAAGCTTACTAAAAATTGTTTGATTAAAACTAGGTTGGCACAGTTAAAAAAACAACAAATTTGTTAAATTGTCTTACATAAAGAAATAGTGGAAGCTATATCTATTATTAAAATATATTTTCAACAAAGCAATGCAAATTATGCATCTTCATATTTCTATACACGTGTAAAGACAAGTTATGCTGTAGAGAAAAATGAAACCTTCCTACAAAAGTTTTAATCATAGCGTCTCATTCCATAAAACTTTTAATTATTTTTCGTGGCAGTATCCCATTATTATTTTCGAAATTCATTAACCAATAATGAATACTTTTTTTGTTTATTTTTTTCCTCCTATAAGAGAACAAATAATAAAACCTTTTAAATATAAATAATGAAAAAATAAATTTACTAATCTATAATTAACCAAAAAATATTATACTATTTAAAATATGACGTACAATTATAATTTAATTTATAAGTATCAACTCGCATGGTAAGTACTTAGTGTGACTAAAATTAGCTATGTCACACATGTGTATTATTATTAATAATTTTTTAATAAGTTTATTTTAATAAGTTGAAAAAATAGTAAATGATTCTTATTGAAATCGTATTAAAATAGACAGTATAAAGATTTGTGATGGTAAGAAAATTGTAATTAAATAATATTACCTAGCTGCCTTTCCAATATGTCATTGCTACTCGCAAGTATTTATCTATTCAAAAAATAACAAGTTCATTAATTATTTAATTATTAAGTATGATTGAATAAACTAAAAATTTTCTTTTTCTTATTTATATATAAAAGGTAAGAATACTTTCAATACTTCTATACAATTCAATGAATTAATTTTAATTAAAAAAATACATACTTTGTATGAAATAGCCAACATTTTATAAATTATATAAATCGTGGTTTAAAAAAAAAAAAAAAAATTGTAAATATAAATGTATTTTTAAATGGTATTGAATATCGGTAATCATAAAACGAATAATTAATTAAATAGACATGTTTATATATGCTAAAAAAAAAAAATGTATAATATTATTATGCCGTAATAATTATAGTACTAATTATTAGCAATATTTAATTCTTTGGGAGGATTCTAATTGATATTGAAGATACTGAATAATAAATAAAACATGAAAAGTAAAAACTGTATTTAAATTCGTATTTCTTATTTCGTATTTATAACTCTTAAGTCTTTATTTAAAAACACCTAATTAAAATTAGTGTGACATAAAAATATGATATTTTATGTAGAAAAATAGAAAAATAATAATAGTATTTACAACTAGATATTATATATATCAAAACAAAATAATAAAGAATAAACTCAATGATTAATAATATTATTTCTTTTCAACTGAGTGGCCAATTCATACTACAAATTAATATCTGTTTTTTTTTTTTAACTTTAACTTTGAAACACGCTGTTAATCCCTATAATAAATTAAGCTTCAATTTTGTACAAGGTTAATCGTATTATTTTTTTTTTTAACAATGTGTACATTATATATATATATATAAATATACCTATAAATCTTAAAATAAACAATCTTTATGGTCGTTTAAAGTTCGAAATACGTCCTATGAACACTGCAATAAACCAAGTACCACTTTTGAATAAGGTGATTTATTATTCTCGTGTTAAATTTTTAAAACAAGAATAAAAATAATCAAATACAATTGCTCTTACAGTGTAGGAACTTAAACAGTTTAGATTATATGTTTTTTTTTTATCTGCATTATTGTATACTAATCGAACTTTTAAAAACAAATATACACAATAATTAAGTGTATAACATTAAATTTTAAATTATATACTGTAAAACCTCAATTATCCATCTGCAATGGGACCAAGGGGGTGACAGATAATCGAATTAGATGAATAAAAGAAAAACTATCTGTTTATATTTATAGTTATTATGTATTAGTTTTTATATCAAACGAATTAGTATATTTAAAAAAATAAAATAAAATAATTTAAAAAAATGAGTAAGTTTTGTTTGTTTGTATGAAACATAGTCTTTCTTTTATAGATAAGTTTTTTTTTTATTTTTTTAGCAAAATTTAACTTGAAAA